GTAATAGGATTATAGGAGGTGCATTTAATAGAAGTCTGAATAGAATTTGTTTGAGTGTTTGAACTTAATAATTCGTCTAATAAAGAATTGGAATGGTTTAGAAGGCTATCCGTACTACCTATAGCACGAATAGATTTATTCAAAATATCTTTACTATTATCTAAATCTCTCGGTACACTAGTACTACGTCGAGATACTTTTGACTTTGAACGAAGAGAACGAGTAGCTGGAATAGGAATTAGGATGGATTTAGAATGAGTCGATGGTTTATAATCGCTATCACTTGAACAACTATTACTTGATTCACTCATTTATCATGCATGAGTTAGAGTCTCAAAAAAAATTTTTTTCTTGTTTACAAAGCACTTTAAATAAGTTCTGCACTATCTAGCAATGAGCGAGTAAACGAGTGGTACAATTCTTACCATTTACTAGAGATAGTAAAAATTAAATTAAAATTTTTTTTTTTTTAAATGGTATAAATTAGAATATTCTATAAAAGTTCGTATCTTTTTTTTTTTTCTAAAAAAATTTTGATCCCACTAAATATTATAGTATTTAAAAAATATTGAAATTGAAAAAATAGAAATTGAAATATTTAATCGAGATAGAAAAATAATATATTTTAATTATTTTTGAACTAATTCAAATTTAAATTGTCTCTCTTTTTAATTAAATTATTTTAATAATAAACAATCTTTTGATTTAGAATTAAATTTACTAAAAATAAATTTATTTGGTACTACTATTTAAATTAAAATAAATCAATCGCAAAGCATGTATAGGATTTAAAAAACTTACATTATGATGACAAATATCATTTTGAAATATTTCATTTTTAACAATTGATTCTTGATTGAAATGGAATTGAATTATTTGGACCAGTGTAGTTGAATTGAACTTGATATGGAATGGCTTGACTCAAATTGAATTGAACGGCTTGTAAGGAATTTAAAAAATTTATCTTGAACGACGTTGATGATTAGAATAGTTTCACTTCTTGATTTTGTAGAAATTTGATTGTATTTGAATGTATCGATTGTATTATTTTTTTATTAAAACGTTGATTGCGACGATGTAGAAATTCAAAATTGTTTAATTATTTTGACGGTCACTTTATAATTGTTGTTATGTTCTCCACGATATCTGGTGGTCGTGTTATATCACGGCAGCGGCACAGTCAAGTTATCGTCCGCTAGACCGCGACGGTGTACATAACGGAGTATTAGTTTGATAAACACGGCGGCGGCGTCGAACCGGTTGAAACAGTGTTGCCACACGAAATAGAATTATGTAGTGAGGTTATTCCCTATCTACCAAGGACGCTTCCACGCGGTTTAATGAATGTACGTTTTTCTTACCAAAAAATTTTTTCATTTTTAGTTTTCGAAAGGCCCTCGAGGACGTTTCCGCTGTATTACCGCTGCCACCAAATATGTTGTGCGGGCCCACGTGGTAAAAGGAATTAAACTTAATAAGAAAAAGAAAACACTCACTTTTCAATAAAACTTTAAAATATATAATTTGATTGACACAATTAATAATACAATACACGTTATTTATTAATATTAGTACAAATGAATAGAATAATAAAATATAATGACATAGAATGATAAAGAATGATATAGAATGATTTAGAATGATATAGAATGATTTAGAATGATATAGAATGAGTGTAACTAGCGCATACTAAACCACGACTGACTGTAGGGTACCTACAGTGGGAGTCCTTTGCCCATGGTTGCCCTAAAACCCTTGGTCAGCACATTCCTGTGTTCAACGACAGTCGGACGACCATGTATTATATACTCTACACAATTATAAAATAATATTCAGGGGTTCTTAACAAATTAAAAGAAAAAAAAATTTGTTTTCAAATTATTACTGATTTTATTTTTAATATGTTAAAAATAATCAGTCCAAATTTTCATTTTAACCTATTTTTTTGATTTTTGAAAGTTGATGAAAAATTTTTGATAAAGATTTATGAAAGTTTATAGTAAAAAAAATTGAATATATTACCATAACTTTTAGCTCAATTACAAGTTTAAAATTGACATCTAGGCCAGTCAACAAAGGAAAAATGTCTTAAAAAATTTCCAACCAAATTTTGTTTTTTTAAAAGTTGAATTAAAATATGAATAATGACATACTAATAATCCTCATTGATTGAAATTGACCTTTTTTTTTACAGCCTCGAAAAAGTCCAAAATATGAGCTTTTTTAATTTTCTCAAAAAATATTTAACTTACAAAAAAAAAAGTTTCGTACAAAAGTTGTTTAAAAGACAATTATAAATAAAAAAATTATCTTATATTTTTTCATTTAAACAAATATTTTTCGAGTTACATTACATTTAATATGATTACTACAATTTATATTCCATTTTTTTCATTTTACGGTTACTTTTTATCATGTTACACTTACGTTAGACACAATGTTATAAATGCATATGTGTGTATGTGTGAGTTTATTTATTTATTGTATCATTAAAGTGTAGTGTATATTAATATACAAGCGATAGACAATATAGACCGATAGTAGGTAATTGATTTGACACTATATTGTTTAAACCCAACTAAACGCTGTGATGGTGTCACGTTTTCATAATCGTGAGAATTATTTTAATAAAATACAGACAGCACATCCGCTGCCTGAGACTGGTGAATTAACAAATAATATTTATTGCCAAATCGGCAATAGGTGTAATTATTATAAAAACCCAATAGACCTGACCATCGTGGTCAGTCGACTCCAGTGCCTTGTGTCATTCATCAGTCTCAGTACTCGGTTGTCGCTGTCCGGCTTACTGTTTAAAGTAAAGTCT